AACTTCTAATTATAACCTCAAAAAAATGCATAAAATATTTCAAAAAGATAAACGGAAAAAATATTATGTACCAAAATTTGGGAGATGGAACTAAATACTAACAGGAAAAATTTAACCATAACTATTTATGTTAGAAAAAACAAAACACTAAAAATTAGTACAAGTATTCATTTTAAGAAATAAAAAAACAAGAAAACCAAAAGTTCAAAGGATTAGTAAAATGATAGTAGAAATTAATGAAATAGAAAACTGATATAAAACCAAAACACTTTCAAAAGTTAATACATTGAAAAGGACCAATAAAACTGACAAACCATTCTTTTCAAATCAAGAAAAAAATATATGAATAAAAAAGGGAAATACAACTAGCAAAAACTGAAAAAAAATTTTAGAATAGTAAAATTAATCAATCCCATTACCATTAAATAAATTAAATCAAGTTAAAAATAAAAAAACTCTAGACCCAGATGATTTTACCAGTAAGTTTAAACATTCAAACAAATATCTCACGAACAAAATACAGATATAAAAACCCCAAATAAAGCATAAAAGTAAATCTAGCAATGCATCAAAAGCAAATTATGACCACTGTGCTTAATCTAAGAATGCAAAATTGGGTGAATATTGGGAAATTAATTGAACAGAAGGAAATATTTCCAACCATGTAAATGGCACTTTTCAGAATCATACAACAAATAATCTCATTTTATTCAAGCCAAACTACCACTTTCCTGCTCCTCAGAAGCAAACAATGCCACCTTCGATCTATGCATAAACTATTCCCTCTGCCCAGAATACTCTTAATTCCAGTTCTTCTTATACTTGGCTCATTTTTATCATTCAGTTCTCAGCTCATAAATATTTTCAACAGGCTTCCTAAACATTCAAGAAGAGTAAATAAAAGCACTAGCTCCCCTCAAACCTTGCCAAGGTCAATGATAACTAAATCTTGAGCTCTGTCCTCACTCCCTCACTTTACCTCACCTATCAGCAGTATCAGACACAGATTACTCACTTGTTGGCATTAAAGCTTTACATTCCAGATACATTCTTTTGACTCACTGGCAAAATCTTCCCAGTTTCCTTTCCTAGCCTTTCCTATGTTCAAACTATAAATGCTGCATTGCAATAGGGTTTATAGTTTTACCCATTCAACATTCATCTACTAGGCACCTCAATCGAGGTGGTCTATTTACTCAGTGGTCTATTTACTCAGTGGTCTATTAACCTTTAAAAGCATTTGGTTCTTTTTATTGTTGTTTTATGCCTTAACATTTCTGAAATTGGGGTGCACATTTTAAACTCTCTGCTACAGGAAGCTGCATTTTATAAGTGGTAGCATCTTAATTCAATGATAAATGATTTACTCCAACATGAACTTCTGATCTTACCCCAAAACCTCCTGTAGCAGGTTTCTTGACCTCAGTTAATAGAATCTCCCCATTTAAGGATGCCAGATACTTTACAGTCCTTGATGCCTTTTTCTTCTCACCCTCTATCCAATTTGTGAGCAAATCCCAAATATCTTAATCTCTCTTAGGGTTATTCTATTAGCCACTTAACTGAAATCCAAGCTTTTGCCTCTATTCTCTTACAATCTGTTTTTTAAACAGCAACTAAAATGCCACTCCTTTGCACAAATCCTAGTGGCCTCACATCTTATTGAAAACAAATGTAAAGTCTTTACATTGGCCTACAAGACTCTATGAGCTAGCTGGCTTCTTGATATTTCCAGACCTATCTTTTACTAGTCTCCTGTTCACTGCAATCCAGTCACACTGGGTACCAACGCAGGATCTTAGCATTTGCAGATTCCTCCACCCAAAATGCTATTTTCCCAAGTATCTCCATGCTCACCCCCTTATCTCCTTCAAGTCTTGTCTCAAATACTATTTTCTCACTGAGAACTTTCCTGGTCATCTTACTCAATACTGTAAACACCACTCTGGTACTCCCTATCCTCCTTTCCTGCTTTATTGTTCTACATATACTTATTATCATCATCATCAAACATAGTATATCTGACCTCTTTATTTTTCTGTCCCCCGACCCTCATAACCATGAATTCCATGAAGACAGAATGCTGTATTCCCCAAGGTACAGGCACTCAATAAAGAGTTGAAAAATGATTTCATAAATCCATGCCAGAGTTTATTCTATTCACCATTATACTCAATGAGTACGTGCCTAATTAATGCAGTGTTTATTCAACAGCAATAACAATTTCAGTAACTGCTGATGAACCAGTTTGTGTTTAGCACTCTCAAGGCCATGTGGACCCAAATGGAACCACAATGTAACTATGTTGTTTGTGGAAAGGAAAACCACTGCTTGTGCCAGACTTGCTAACAGAACTCTGGTTAATGGTCATTGGTTAGATTATTAGAGCTAGTAGTTTATCTATTAAGATAACTAAGAAAACAACTGTAATAGTAGAAACTCAAGAGTACTTAACATCTGCAGCCATCCATAACAGAATTTTGAAATTTAAATACTAATTCTCTACCTGCATTTTATATATGTAACTGGCTTAGTATATTTGTTTTAGTTTCAATATCTAAGAAACCACTGTGATTAATCAACAGTCCCAGGGCTAACTCACAAGGATCTTTGGCAATTTTTAAAATTGAGATACAATTCACATCTATTTTCTACCATTTTGAAGTATAAAATTCAATTTTTTTATTGTGGGAAAATATACATAATATTAAATTTATCATTTTCACCATTTTAAGGTAAGAGAATGTATGTAGCAACAAAGGTTTCTAATATATTTACAAGGCTGTGCAAATATCACCACCCTATAATTCCAGAGTTTTTTCATCACGCCCAAAAGGAGCCCATGCCTATTAAGAAGTCACTCCCCATTTCTCTCCTCCCCTCACATCCCAGGAACCACTAATCTATTTTGTCTTTATGGATTTGCCTACTCTGAACATTTTACATAAATGGAATTATAGACTATAGTTGTTGTGTCTAGCTTATTTCAATGAGCATAATATTTTCAAGGTCCACACAAACTAGGATCTATCAAGACCTCACTCCTCTTTATGCTGAATAATATGGATACATCCATAATGGATATTATATGATATATCAAATTTTATTTAATGATGGACTTTTGAGTTGTTTATAATTTTTCACTATTAAAATTAGGAAAAAGCTAATTTTGTGCAAATGAGTAAATCTTTGTTAGAACAGTAACCAGATCAAAGAATATTTCTTTTTTAATTTTTTTTAAGATTTTATTTACTTATTTTTTTTAAAAGATTTTATTTGTTTATTTTTAGAGGGGAAGGGAGGGAGATAGACAGAGAGAGAGAGAGAAACATCAATGTGCGGTTGTTGGGGGTTATGGCCTGCAACCCAGGCATGTACCCTGGCTGGGAATCGAACCTGGGACACTTTGGTTCCCAGTCCGCGCTCAATCCACTGAGCTATGCCAGCCAGGGCAGAATATTTCTATTTAAAATTCTATTTTGGACAATAAATACTGCCAAATATGATATACTGCTTAGGCTCCCACAAACAGTGCATGACAGGATCAACTTCCCTGTACCTTCATATTAATGGATTTTAGATTTAATTTTCCTAAACAGAGGGAAAAAATCATTATTTTGATTTCCTTGATAACTAGTAAACATATAGCCTATTTTCTGTTTAAAAAACATTAACAGGCAATTATTCCAACTCAATATGAGTAATTATACCACCCATTTAAACAGCCACCATTACAACAAATTAAATTCTCATATACATTCAGCTCTGTCCCTATTTTCTCCATTCTGCTGCTCTTTCAGCACCAATACCATGCTATAAATGGCTTTATAGTATACTTTAGCATCTGGTACACAAATATGTTATTCATGATTCTGCTTTTTCAAAATCTCCTCGGGTTTTGTGGCACATTTATTCTTTCAGATGAACTTTAAAATCAACTTGTAAACTTACCTGTTGAGACTCTCATTGGAATTATATCAAATGTATATATTAATTTGGAAATGACTGACATGTTAATATTAAATTTATGTTTCTAGGAACAGAATATGTTTCACCATTTATTTAGGTCTTGGTTTTGCATCCTTCAGTAAAATACTCATGATATTTTAATAAGGTAAGTAAAATCTATTTTCTTTTTACTTCCATGTGTACTTACTACTCATCTCTACATAAATAAAAATTTTTTAAACTATTTTTGAGAAAAAAGATCACTTCTTCATATTCCATAAAATGACAGGATTACCAGATAATCTTTAAGAGCTATTTCAGCTAAAAAAATTCCATGACTTTCTATAAACACTCCCCCTGAAAAAACTTTCTACAAATCACCTAAACCACGTGCATTGTCATCTGTAAAAGATTGAAAGTATATACACCAAGATAGTCAACTGGTTTCATCTTAAATTCTAAGTCAGATTCATAAGAAATGGGTGCCAAGAGTGATAAACTGGTAACATCTAGGCTTGAGGAAAATGAATACCATAATGAATTATCGATCTCTGCCATGAAGGAGGAAATGGAAAATGGTGACACTGGTGCCAAGTACTTGCCATACATGAGATTCACCAAATTATTTACCATGTATTTTGAGAAATACAATTATATCAAGAAGACCTTCACCTTCAACTTTATACACTTCTACATTATTAACATTTTTAACAAGCAAGTATTACTTTCAAAATCAGCACACACAAAAATATCTTCAATTTGTAAAAAAAATACTGCAATTTCATACTGAATATGTAACAGTGTTATATATCTATTGCATTATCTCCTATAAACTTACAATTTCCTTAATAATTTTTCCAAAAGAAAATTCTTACAATTTTGGTTTTAAAGATACATTACAAATTTTTATCTGGATTAAATATTCTTGAAATATTTCCAATATTTATGTCATAATACTACATTATTATTCTTTTCTAAAGTCATCAAGAAAGCATGAACATAAGCTAAGAAATTCTAGGGATAAAAGTAGTTTCAGCACTTTTAACACTTACAATTCAATTTCAACCATGCCTTTGGAACACCCTCTCTTCACAAAAAAGCCAACCTAAGAAATTAAAAAAACAAAAACAAAAACACATAGTGAACTGTGTAATGATATTCTCAGAATAAGAGATTTAGCAGTTGTTATTATTTGTCAGATCAAGATTAACTCAAAAACTACTCTGTATGAAATGCCCCTTTATTGTTTCTACCCCCAAAAAGCAATACTATTTGTTACCATTTCCTGAACTTTTTATATGCCAGATAGCCTTTTACAAAACTCATGACAAAGCCAGAAGTGGTACAGATCGAGGATCTAAACCCAGGTAATCTAGCTCCAGAGCTTGCGTTCTTAGCCACTACACCTAACACACTCTCAGAGAGAAGAGAGACAGTAGGAAAACAAGTTCTACAGAATAGCCATAAAGAGCTATATATCCAATCTCACTAAAGTTATTGGAAACTTCAATGTAGTTGCACAGATTAAATATTAGTAACTTATCCAGTTAATAATTAGGACATAATGTCACCAAGTATATTTTTTAAAAGAGCAATACACAGGGTAAATACAATTTAAGTAAGACTATCTGAGCTAGTTTCCATATGTGTATGAGCATAAGCATGAAAACAGACTCTGAGCATAAAAAAATCAGACTGATCTTAAATCAGGCTATAAGACACCTGGGAAGTAATTATCTTTTTAATAGTGGTAACAGCAGTGATGACAATTATACACACAACTAACATTTATTAAGTGTTACTATATCCTGCTTTGCTAAGCTCTTTATATATAATTTTTCTGATTTAATACTCATAAGCTACCGTATGAGATATGTGTTATATCCATTTAATAAATGATGACACCAAGTCCCAGAAAGATGGAAAAGTCAATTCTTGTAACTTGAAAGTAATAGATAAGTTACATGATCTTGAGAAAAGCAAAAATTTAACCAATTTCAGTTTCTTCATAAATAGAAAAGACAACGGCATTTTTGTAGGAGTGTCATCTGTATTAGCTTGCAGCAATCAAAATACTTGGTACTAAGCAGGAAAAAAAATCAGAAGGCAGTTCTTACTGTAGAGTACATATAGGAATGATACCCAACATGCCAGTGTTAAATTTTTATATTAGCATTTAAACATAAAGACAACATTAAAAATGTTTGCTGAGTAAATGGGAAGTCCCTAAATAGTCGTACATCTCTGGATACCCAAAGTCTGCAATTTATCATCTAAGAAAATGCATTGCACAGACTCCTTAAAAACCACTACCACTTAAGGATGAGAAGTGTCTTCATTTGACAAAAATATATGGGAAGGTCGGTGAAAATTGTTACAGCCCAATCTATTTTTACTATACACACCTTGGAGTTCAATCTAGCAAACCATTATGCAGAGATAAGAATTAATAAATAATTTATGACAATTAAAAACTACATAAATATTTATAAAATTCTGCCTTGGTCCTTGGAAGTTATCTACTCCAACCCCCTTATCTTTGAAATAAAGAAAAATGGAAGTCCAGCCAATTAACTAAGGTCAGAAGTCTAATTACTAACAGAGTGGTATATTTTCTACCTCATAAATGCCTCCCATGTAACATTAAAAACACACACATATTTTTAATAGGTTTCTTTATAATCTTAAGCAATCTATGCCTCAATCTTATAGCCCTACATTAAATTTTTGGCCTGGCTAAGAAACTTGTAATATTGTTTTTTTTAATATTGTTTTGATAATACTGCAATATTCACAATAACTTCAGAAAAATGTAAAGAATCATTTCAAGTTTCAAGAATATTTTATAGTAGGGTATCAACTGAACTCTCAAGACTTTCTTTTTAAAACAGGTTTCTATGTGAAATATATACCAAATGGTATATATGTACCTCATGTACTGTTTAAGAAATAAAACCACGTATTGGGTTGGCCAAAAAGTCTATTTAATTTTTTTCTATAAAACAAAAGATTCATTTTTCATTTTCACCAATAACTTTATTGATTTGGATATTTTGAGTATGTCAGCTATCTCCCGTGTAGTTTAATGTTGATTGTTCTCAATCGTGGCTTGATTTAATCAGTGTAAACTTCAACTGGTCTACCCAACCATGGAGCATCATCCAGTGAGAAATCTCCAGCATGAAACTTCAGAAACCACTTCCTTTAAAAGACTTTATTTATTTATTTTTAGAGAGAGAGGGAGAGAGGGAGAAAGAGAGGGAGAAATATCAATGTGTACTTGCCCCTCACATGCCCCCTACTGGGCACCTGGCCAGCAACCCAAGCAAACCGAGAGGTCGCCAGTTTGATTCCAGTCAGGACACATGCCTGGGCTATGGGCCTGGTCCCCAGTCAGGGGCAAGCAAGAGGCAACTGATCCAGGTATTTCTCCCACACTGCTGTTTCTCTTGCTGTCTTTCTCCCTCCCTTCCCCCCTCTCTAAAAGTAAATAAATAAAATCTTTGAAAAATAACCTTTCTAGGTAAATCCCATTTACATCTTCAACTCACCTTAAATTATTTTTTGTTAAAGTGTGAGGATCACACTCAATTTCTTGTTTTCCTGTCTGGACAGCCAACTGTCTCAGTACCATTTATCAATTCCACCCACCCCCCCCCCCAACATCTACAGTGTCACTTCTGTTGTAAATCAAGAGTATACTAATTATGGTTTTATATCTGGGCTTTTAATTCTGTCACATTGCACTGGTCTATTTTATATTTCCACACCAAAAGCGTATATCTTAAATTACTATAATTTCATATTAAGTCTTAATATCTGGTAGGACAAGTTTCCCCATTTTGTTCTATTTCTTTAGCTATATCTAAGCTATTCTTTGGTCTTTTGTTCTTCCATCTAAATTTTAGAACCAGCTTGTAATTTTCTATAAACAGTACTGGGATTCTGACTGGAATGATATTGGATGTGCATGAAGAATGACATTTTTATGTCAGTGATAACAGTGATTCTTTCTATTTAATCAAATATTAAAGTTTGTTAATAAAATTTTATAATTTCTGCATATAGTCCATACATGTCTTGTTTACTTACTGCTCTGTAACTTGTACTTTTGTTGCTATTGTAAATGATACCTTTTATTATATTTTTCTGTTCACTGTTAGTGTACTTTTGCAATTGACTTTTGCTATATAATCTTGTTTCTAGCAATCCTGAGAAAATTCCATATTAATGCTCAGGAAGCTTATCTAGAGTTTTATGTGTGTGTGGTTTTTACGCAGACACTCATATGACCTGTGAGTGACTTTGCTGTGAGTGACCAGTTTTCTGTTTTTCCAACTTGTATCTTTTGTCAGTCTTCCAGTACAACATTGAATAGCCATGATAGTAGGTGACCTCGGCTTATTCCCGAATTTGCTATGCACTTTCATAGATATCTTTTATAAAATTAAGAAAGATCCCATCAATTCCTAATTTGCTGAGTTTTTAAATCATAAATTACTGTGAATTTAATAATACTTTACCTATTGAGATGATCATGCAGTTCTTTAAAACATAAGTTTTTCTAATGTTCAATCACTCTCCCATGCCTTAAATAAATTCAATTTGATCATGATGTATTATGCATTTTATGTACTAGATTCAGCAGGCTGTTTCTTTTTTCTTTCTTTTTTTTTTAGAATTTTGCTTCTATATTCATGAATGAGACAGGTTTGTAATTTTCTCACTCTTTCTTTGACCAATTTTGGTACCTACAGTCATATTTTCTATGTAAAATTAGTAATTATTGTGGTTGAACTAATCCATAATTATCTAGAGTTCTGAGAAAAATGTTAACACCTGACTTATTTTTTTGTTAGTCAGTTTTGATAATTTATATAGTTGTAGAAACCTATATATTCATTTTTTTAAATTTAAAATTTATTGGCATAAAGTGGTTCATAATATTCTCTTATAATCTTTTTCTAAATTTTACTTACTTATTTATTTTTAGAGAGAGGAAAGGGAGGGAGAGAGGGGAAGAAATATCAATCAGTCGCCTCTTGTAAGTCACTCAACTGGGAACTGAACCTGGGCATGTGCCCTGACCAGGAACTGAACCAGCAACCTTTCACTCTGTGAGACAACGCCCAACCAACTGCGCCACAGCAGTCAGGGCACTTAAAATCCTTTAAAATTTCTGCTGCATTCTGGTAATGTGTCAGTGGTAACCACCAGGGCAGTTCATGAATATTCTGCTTCTCTGTCAAGCCCATGGCAGATTCGTATTTACACATTTTCTTTGATGCAAGATGTGTCCTTTTGTCTTGCTTTGCTGCCATTTGAGTGAAACAAAGATGTATCACTTCTTGTAGGATATGTTACCAGCCAATTCCCTTCCCCAATGTGACAATCATGGAAGTTTGTATTGAAATGACTCCATTAGCCTAAGTGCCTAAGTACCTAAGTCATGACAAAGGATCTACACTAAAATAAGTAGCAAGAGCAAGAATTAATAGTTTGTATTTTCAAACCACTTAAATTTGGGGGTGTTTGGATCACAAGGTAACATACCTTAACTACTACCTTTTTCATTCCTTTATTTTTTGTTCTTTACAACCACCCACATTATCTTTTCAGAAGTTACTGATTTCATTAATCTTTTTGGAAGTAGTTTTTGTTTTGTGGGGCTTAGTATATCATTGTTAACTATTTTCTGCTCCTATTTTTTAATTCCCATTAAGATTTCTTCTTTGACCTGTGTATAACACAGAAGTATATTTTTTATTCCAAACAAATGGAATAAATTTAGTTATTTTTTTGTTATTATTTCTCTCTGTTAAGAGAGAATATGGTAACAATTCTTTGATATTTGCTTTATGCTTCAGTAGATGGTGTTTTTAATGTTCCATTTGTGCTTAAAAAGAATGTGTGCTCTCCAATTGTTGACCACAGTGTTTATAACCTTTCCATTAGTTCAAGCTTAATTGCTGATCTTCTGTACAGAAATACCTCATTTTATTACACTTTGCAGATATTGATTTTTTTAATATACAAATTGAAGTTTTGTGGCTATCTTGCACTTAGTGAGTCTATCAATGCCAAAAAGATGGTGACTCAATGAAAGCTCACATGGTTTGCACTGTTTAGCAATAAAGTATTTTTTAAGGTATGTACATTTTTTTAGACATAATGCTACTGCACACTTACTATATATACTACCTTGTAGTATAAACATAACTTTTTTTTTAAAGATTTTATTTATTTATTTTTAGAGAGGGAAGGGAGGGAGAGAAAGAGAGAGAGAGAAACATCAATGTGCGGTTACTGGGGGGTCATGGCCTGCAACCCAGGCATGTACCCTGACTGGGAATCGAACCTGTGACACTTTGGTTCACAGCCCGTGCTCAATCCACTGAGCTACGCCAGCCAGGGCTAAACACAACTTTTATATATGAACTGGGAAACCAAAAAATTAGTGCGACTTGCATTATTGTGATACTCGCTTTATTGTAGTGGTCTGCAACTAAACTTACAGTATTTCCAAGGTATGCCTGTATTCTTACAAATGTTTTCTCTAATTGATCTATTGATTATTAGACCTCCTACTGTGATTATGCATCGGTAATTTCTCATTAAGAGTTCTGCTGAAAAAAAGAGTTTTACTGATTTTCCTTATGTTTTGCAGCTAGATTATGTGAATTCAAGTTGAGAACTGAACCCTTTAGCAAAAGTACTTTTCTTTAAGTTGTTTGATTCTTTTTCAAATTTACCTAATGTTACTTATTCCTTTGTTACTCTTGCAAAGTTCTTTTATTTCCTTAAACTAAATATTCCTACTTTACACTGACTATTTACAAGCTTTATAGTCTGATTGTATAGTCTGCTATTTTTGTTATCTTTTATTTTTGGTGATTCATTTTGCCCTATGTTTTGAGATTTTTAGTTATGGACTCATGAATTTCTTAGGCTTTTTTATGTCTGAATTCTTTTGAGGACAGAATGAGGCTATTTTCCTTTAGAAGATTTGCATTTACTTCTGCCAATGCCTGGAGATATTACTAACTGAAACCACTCTAAACTAAAATTACCATTTATGATAGTTAGGCCATACAGGTAATATGAATTCGAGGCCCAAATATGTGTTAAGTCTTATGGTTAAGAATTCTTTGGAAGAGTTTCTTTTTTTCCCCATTGTATTCAGAGTTTACAATGAGATAAGTAAGTAACTCCACTGTCCCATTCTGAGATGTTGTTTTCTCTGCTGCATATACTGCTTGGCTTTTTGTTTTATATTCTAGCCCTTTCCCACCACCTTCGGGGCCCCTATCCCATGGAACCAATCCAAAGCCAGGCTTTTAGGTACAAGGTAAGCAAGTGCCCCTGAAAAAACAACTCCAGAGTTGCTTAAGTTTTCAGATCCACACTATTTTGTTTCTGTCATTGGTAAATTTACTTCACCTTTCCACAAGCCCAGCAATACATTAAAAAAAAAAACAAAACCCAACAACATTTTGGACTATCTAAGAACTTAAAGTGTTATATACTCAGAGAATTTCTCTCCATATAGATACAGCCCCAAATACTTCTAGAAATGGGAAGTTCCCCCCACCTTCTCTTCCTTCCAACTTCATTCTTTATATTCAAGCACTACACTTCTGCTACATCAAAGGAACTGAAATGTAGAAATTGATTTCTTACTAAAAGCAAGTCACCACTTTGAAATTTTTAAAAAAGTACTTATGTTAACTTACCTTATCTGCCCGTCCCATGAAAGCAGGTTTGCCCGCTAATCCAAGGCAAATGGCACACACAATGCTGGACTTCCCTGTCCCATTAGCTCCAATAATCATATTCAAATGGGGTCCAGGGCATACTTCACAGATATCGTATGTTCTGAATTATAAAGAAGTAAAATTACTAAGCAGAGAAGAATAACATTTTCTTTACCAAAGCATTTTTCTTGCTTTACATTATCATTATCTACAGGCTAACTAAAATTCCTTTCAGAGCCAGCTCATCTTACAAATTTAATATTATTATAGGTTGTTAATAAACTAGAGGGGAAAAATCCATCAGTGGAAAAAACAAAAGAGCTAATCTAAAGAAAAATATAAACAATTTAACAAAACAGAAAGACTCACAGATACAGGGGAAAAATGGATGATTGACAGACTGAGGGTTGGGTGGTAGGCTGGGTAGAAAAGGTGAAGGGAATAAGAAGTACAATTGGTACAATAGTTATAGAATAGCCATGGGGATGTGAAGTACAGCACAGAGAATATAGTCACTAATACTGTAATAACTATGTATGGTGCCAGGTGGGTACTGGAAATATCAGAGGGAACACTTGGTAAAGTATATGATTGTCTAACCACTATGCTGTACCCCTGAAACTAATGCAAAATAATGAGATGTAATTGAAAAATAAAATAAAAACATTAGAAAAATAAGATTTCAAATGCCTGTTTCAAGAATAAGTCTGTTGAATAAAACAAATTTGATATTATTTATTCCTTTTGAACAATTATAAGACATGAAAAAATATAACAAAGCTACTATACAAATAAAATACATTTTTAAAAATTTTATGTAAGAGAAGCCATAGATCATTTGAAGTCTATAGATTTTTACATTTCATTTGTCTTAATTACAATACTTAATGGCAACTTCTCATAGTCTAATATTTGAAAGCATCCAAACAAATTGTTTTTACTCTAATTAGAAAACTGAAGATATACATCAACCCATTGGTTTCATTTTCTTATTAATTTAAAAATATTATATCCATTTCCTTTAATTTGTTGGCAGAAATTTACCCAGGAAGGCACAGTCCATATTCAAATAAAATTTATTCCCATGGGAGGAAACAGGAATGCATCAGCACCAAGTAACAGTGAAATATTCCCTTGTGCCAGAAAGCTGCACGCTGTCTAGCACGCTACCTACAGCAACAGCATCTAATCCCTGGCAGTCGCCTGAGACAGCCATGGCGAAGTGTGAAGCAAACTCTGACTCAGATATCTTTCTTGCTTATCTTCGAATACCCTGAATTAAAACCCATAAAGAATGTCTTGTTCCCATGGGGTTTCAGTGAGCTATCAACTAATTCCCCAAAATAAATGTTTTAACTGCTACTAACCTACTAAATATAGGGTGTGGCAAAAGTAGGTTTACAGTTGTTCATATGGAAAATATACAATTAATAGATAGTAAAATAAACCATGTTTCACATACTCACAACTGTAAACCTACTTTTGCCACAGGCTTGTAATTTAACCAAACACACTTCAACTCTAATACTCAAAGAAATTAACAATTTTGAAATGCTAGGTGGTAATAAAAATAAAAACACGTGGTAAAGAAGTATTTTCTGGCAGGTTTCTACCCCACATCTCTGCACAACATCTATCTACTTTATCTTTCAGAGGCTTTGTTCTGTTAGCAGCTGGATCTTGATAGAATCCTTTATAATGGTTAAAATAAAACTAGTTGGGGAATTTCACACAGCTGGAAAATTACCTGACTTGGAACTTCTTAATCACAACACACAAGCCCCATTCTTTCAACAGTTGAATCTCCTTCTGTGAAATCTCTGTGCGACTGTCTTACTAAAATAGTGATACAACTAGTATTTAAGAAAACAATGAAAACAAAAGCGTAAGAATCTGCAGCCTATGCAATAGACATACATTATAAACAGGAAGAGCTCCCCAAAACAAAACAAATCCTTTGTATTTAAAAAAAATTAACTGTTCTGACTCTTATGTTTATTGGGAAATTTTTTTTTGTGAGTTCCCTTTTGCCTAAGCTTCCCCTGAAACTGCTATTGTCAAAGGCCCACACTATATACTTTGCCTGGTATTTCAGGTATTCTCTATGGCCTCGGGTAGTATCCATATATTGAAAGTTAGCCCAGGTGACCTATATATTAAATCACCACCTCAATAACTGTTTGGATGCCCCACAACAGTCGCCCTAAACTTAGCACATTCAAAACAAAACCCACTGTTCTCTTAGTGAATGGTACCATCATTCACCCCACAGCCCATATCAGAAACCTACGTATTAGTTTTATATTAGCTTTTATTCTATCATCTCCTTAACCTCTGCATACAACACCCCTCCATCAATCACCAAATCATTTTCATAGACATGCAAATCTGAAGTCACTTGTCAAAAAAATTCAAAAAGAAGAAAAAATAGGATCCTTCATAATTTAGCTTCCCCTTTTTCTACCTCCCTCCCCTTCTTCTCTAACTAGACTTGTAAATTCTACCTATGATGAATTTCTTTCAGTTTCTTGACTATTTTAGGCTTCCTTCCTTCCTCTGAGAAAGCCTTTGCACATGCTCTTCCTTCTGCCTAGAAATCTCTCCCTCCACTCCCAACCCTATTTGACTTGGTTCACTCATAGGGATCCTTCCTTTGACCATTCTTTCCCAGACCATTTCGGTTGCCTAAGCTTATCTCTCTTACTTCATTTCTAAAACTCAAGTCCTTTCACTATGAAAATAAAACCTCACTTAGCTCTGCATTTTCCAGCTCTGCAATTATCCTCTTCACATCCAAGGTTACTCCCTCACTCATTCATTCTTTTATGAATGCAAAAGTTTTCTTCTTCCATGGCTTCATCAAAGGGTCAAAGATTTCCTAATTGCTAAACGCAGTGGGCTCTTTTTTAGTCCTGTTTTCTGACTTCAACATAGCAGATATTTTGGAAGCACTTTTTCCTTGCCTTCTTCTTTAATAAATACTCTCCCTTGGTTTTTCTCTTACCTCCCCCAACAGTCTCTTCTCAGCCTGTGAATTCCTCTTCCGCTCATCCTTTTGCTGGCATCCCTCCAAGATTCTGTACTTGGCCTTCTATTCCTCCTATCTGTATTTCCTTTTGGGCAATCTGAACCATTTCTGCAACTTTGACACTTATATGTGTGATCCCCAAATCTCTTGGCTGTTCACATTTTTCTGTAAGCCTCAGACAGTTAAAATACTGCCTATGGAAGATCTGTTAGATGTCCCACAGGAAACTTCAAGTCACAGGATCCAAAAGGCATTTATTATTATTCTTTCCAAATTCCTCCCTCTTCTGAACAGCACCATATCTGACCAATAATTAGCTAACGCTGTACTTCTCCCTTACCCTCATACTTCACAATTAATCTGCAGCCAACTCCCATCAAATCTCTTTTCTCTCCACTTCTACTCCCTAGTGCAACTTCTAAGTTCAAATCCTGATCACCCCTTGTCTTAGTATTGCAAAGGTCTTCTTATCTCCAATCTTGCACCCTTTCTAAATCATCCTTTACAATGCTTCCAGAGTAATCTAAATCACATGTCATTCCTTACTTAATATGCATCCTGGCTGTTTATAGAATGAAGCTGGAATTCCTTAACACGGTAAACACAGATCTCAATAGTTGCCTACCTCTTTGGTACCACCTATGTCCACCTCCTGTAGTCTAGCTTACTAAAATACTTGATGCTTCCTAAATATAATAAACTGCTGCAGGCAGCTCCTCCCGTCTACAGTCCTCTTCCCTTCTTTTAAGACTTTTATAACGTCTGTACAAAGAAAGCCCTTTCTCACAGTTGTGGGAGATATTAACCACTTCATCCTTTGTGTCCCCATGGCATCCTGATATATACATTATTATCGTTGGTAATTCATTTGATGATCTTGCCTGACCGGGATTCAAACAGTAATTCAGCTACTAACAAGCAGTGTAAGTGTGGGCAAATGAACCTCTGTGAGCTTATCTAATCAAGAGATAATGCAGAGTTGTTGTGAAGAAAGAATGAGAGCACTGTATAAATAAAGCACCTACTTCTGTAAATGGCATTACGGGTGCTTGGAAAAAAAATATTGATGTTACTGCAATTGTTTCCCCTACGCCACTCTGTGCAAGCTTAAAAAACATCATGATCAACCCGGCTGGTTTGGCTCAGTGGTTTGAGCGCTAGGCTACAAACTAGGGGGTCGCCGGTTCGATTCCCGGTTGGGGTATGTGCCTGGGTTTCGGGCCAGGTCCCCTGGTATGGGCCTTGAGAAAGGCAACCAAACATTGATGTTTCTCTCCCTCTCTTTCTCCCTCCCTTCCCCTCTGTCTAAAAATAAGTAAAATAAGAAAACAAAACAAAACATCATGATCAAACTGTAAGGTGCTATACTAACAGGTATTTGTGTTAAAACACATTGATTAGTACGATTAGTTGCCTGGAGGGAGAGAAAGGTAGGAACTAGGGAAAAAAAGTGGATTAGTAGGGGACATGGGTCCGTTGAGAGACCCAACAATTGACAGTAAGGATTAATTTTCTTGTACTTTGCAACCTCATTAGCACTCTGATTAAACTGTTGCTTCCTGGGAGTCCCTAAAGACCACAGTTTTGTGAATTACAGATTATGTCTTTCCTCGGTAGGCCGTGCTTCCAGCGGGCAGAAACCTAATCCCCACTACGTCCACTACCCGGCAAATGACGCCTTGAAAAGACGCTGGTAGAACAAATTTTTTAAAATATCGTATCACACAAGACACACACCTAGCACACCGACACATACAGCAATCTCCAAAGCCTACGAATAGATGTGCTGGTAATCCAGTCACAAATTCACTGCAAGATCCACAAGCCAGACACACACCCACCCACGCGCGCACACAAGCCGCGCGCGCCCCCCAGCCTGTGGGCCCACTCGCCTTCCCCGCCGCCCTGCGGCCTCCGGCCACTCACAGGAAGTTCTCCATCGCGATGCGGACGATAGACCCTTCCACAAAAGGTCCGGCCGACGGCAACGGCAGGGGCGGCGCCGAACTCCTACTACTCTTGCTCGGGACCTCCGACGATGGATCTTTCGGGTGACATCTCTTGGAGGCCAGGGGGCTTGGGGTCGAGGTCTTCCGGCTCGAAGTCGCCATCCTGGCTTCCCCTTCGCCCCGCAGCAGCTCCAGTTCTTAGAGACCTGCCGACCCAACGCCCTGACGTCCCGCTCCCGCGCGAACTGTTCAGCGCGCGACCCCACCTGAGAGCCCGCCCCGCGCCTGCGCAGTTCCGGCCGGCGGCGTCAGCGGGTAGGCCCCGCCTTGGACCTAGGAGGTCTGTGCAGAGGACAACGCGGGTGGAGGCGGGTGGGGGCGCCCAGCGGGATGCGAATACTGGGCCTTCTTTTTCTGCATGTTCCTGAAATTTTCAGGGTTTTTCTTCTTTTGGGGGGGAAAAAGATGTCAGTTTCATTTAGTGTTTTGAAAGCTCTTTTAGCGCTCCAAGGAAGCAGATCTGCGAAGGGACGAAGGGAGGCTTTTGCAGTGGAACCTGGGTCGCTGGGGTGAGCTGAGGACCCGGGGCCGGGGCACAAAGGCAGGCAGCGTGCAACCGGGTGTGTGGATTCCGCCAAAGTGCTAAGGAACTCGCAGGTCTTCGCTCTTACTCTTTTCAGTTTGCTTCTTGTTTGCATTCAATCCGTCCCCCTTATCTAAAAAAAAGAAAGGAAACTCTTCCAAGTGATTCTATACCCAAATGTGTCTCTTAAAGCATTGTACTAAGTAAGTACGACGTGTGAAAAGAGACTACACTTCGTTGATTCTTCCTATTTACTCTCTACCCTTTGGCTCCCCCATACCCTATCAAGACTTCATGCTCCTGAGGTTTGTTGTAATGCAGGAGCTCTGGCTTCATTTCGAGGGTGCTTCCACTTAAACCCGCTCACATTCGTCTAGTTAACCCCTTCAGTAAAGATGAAGAGCACCGCGAGGTCAGATTTTGAGCATTAACTCACTATGTCCCTTTGCTTGGCACCCTGCCAATAAACTTTAATTTCTGCACTAAAAAAAATAAAAGGAGCACTGAGGCAGGTCTACGTAGCTCTTCATTCTCTTAACTAACAACGTCTAATCAAGAGGCGGGGGCTGCTGCGGAAAGGAGCCAATTAAGGTTTCTCTGCTCCTAGCTTGCTTTGTGGTATGGGAGACAGAAAAAGAACCAGTGAACCACCGAAGGAAGGATCATCTCAGGCTGTGATAGATGCAATAAACAAACTAAAACAATGAATTGGATGGGGGAGACGCGGAAGGCACGTCTGAGGAGATGATAAATGTTTGAGCCAAAAACCCTGAAGGAGTAGGAGGAGCCAAGTGCCTACGTCAATGAGCAAGAGTATTACAGCCAAGGACAAAGGCTCATATGTGACAAGTGGGATGTTTCAGGAACAAAGGCCTGTGTGGCTGCAGTAAACAAGATTGCACAGCACAGCCTTGCCCGTGGTAGCACAGCCTTGCCCGTGGTGGCACAGCTGAATTTTATTTTAAAAGCAATGGGAAGCCACTGAGTGGTTTTAAGCAGGAGAGGAAGTTGATCAACTAAAGTTTTAAAGTGACTTCTCTGGTTGCTGTTTGGAGGAAGTCAAGCATGGAAGTGGGGAGGCCATTTAAAAAGCTGTTGCAGTAGAACTATGCTCCTTCCCCACATCTCTGCTTTTTCCCACCGAAGGAAATAGAATGAGTAAAAAGCATGTGAATTTTTCATGGCTACTAGAATTTTGTTTTGAAAAAGCAAATTAAAATAAAGAAGAATAATTTGAAAACTGTCAAGTGCCAGAAGATAATAAAAATACTCAGTGGTTATAGGAGGGCGCTGTATTGTTGTTAGATAAGACAGAGTTCTCAGGGTCTGGGCAGTTTTTACTAAATGCTTTGGAGATTCGGCTGCAACCGGATGAGCTTGACCTGAAGTTTAGCCAACTGCAAGGAAGAAAACATGTAACTAACCAAATAGTGTTTATAAGCAATGGCTAAACCTCCTTTCTGGGAGGCAGAGCTTTGCCTGACTCCCTTGTTGCAAATAAAACTGCCTGAGGACAACTACATCTTGCTCTCTTTGAATTTGGTAGCCCTGTCAACCCTGCATTGCTAATACAAAAAAAAAGTACCTCATTTGGTACCCTTGCTTCAGAGCCATAGAAGAGTCAAATTCTTTGAAGAATTCCACACACTTTTGGGGGAATCTATCCTAATAGGAAAATAATACAGGCAGTGGTGATGAGAGATGAGGGAAGGGAACCAGTCTGATCATTTTTGTGCCATCATCATTTCAATAGCGAATTAATCAAATTGTGCTTATAAACTTGGAAGCTAAGAATGAGCCTCTGATCTTGTGATGACCCCACATGCACATACACTATGAATTCTTGTCTAAGAAGCCACTCTACCATCATCTTTTAAAAAGGAAAAGTTTGTTTTTAATTACAAAAGCAATACATGCTAAATGAAGATACTTCAGGATACACAGAAACCAAACTCACAAAGAAAAAAATCTATTCATAATTCTTTTGCCCAGCCTAATAACTGTTAAGATTTTGGTGTATTTTTTGGTGTTTTACTTGCATATGTATAGTATGCTCTTTTCATTAAAAAATGCAGCATGAATTATAGATACTATTATTTAATCCCCCTTTCTCACTGAATATATTATGAGTATCTTCCCATGTCATAAACATTTTTCTATGACATAATTTTAAGTAACTGTGTAGATGTACTATAATTGACTTAAATATTTTTTGTTGGCATTTGTATGACTGGAAGTTAGCATGAACCAAGGATACTCTGCAGACTATAATAGCTCAGTGCTAGCCTAACATTCTTAAAAAAATTTCATGCACTCATAAAAATATACAAATCTATCTTGCCACATTTAGATTCTTTAATTCCACTGATGAAAACTGTCCTGCAAAGGGTGGTGGTTAAAGAGACTGAGGGATAAATATTTAGAAAGATTATCAATTAACCAGAATATGTTGAGTGAATGAGCCACAACATCTAGTCCTACACTTCTTAGGGTTCAAAGTTCAGTCATCAGCTGACTTCATCACCCCATCCTTGCTAATTAATAGGCATGGCAAAGTAATTGTATTTAACTTTCCACTGACCAAGGAGTGAGTAACCAGGGGCCATTTTGAGTGACGGCCTTTCATTCTGGAGGAACTTGAAAACCGATACAAACAAAATGCTGCCAAACAGGGGCAGGGTCAAGGACTATGAATTTCACTTCACCATCAAAACACCATCTTCCGTGTTCTCTTCCTTGGCTTCACTTCAAGCTCTTGATAATGATGCCACAATACCAGGAAGGTGGGGCAAGATGACATGGAATGGGACTGCACTGAGATTCCGGCTCTAACCAGAACCCTCACAGGTAAGCACGAATAATCTCCTCTGGTTTGCATACCAAGTGAGAAAAAACATTACTTTGGCTTTGGGCAAATTCTGAAAGTGGAAAAGTGAACCCTCATGGCTTGAGAGGAAAGAAGTCGCATGCTAAAACCTGAGTTTTTGGCACCCAGGAACGACCATTCTCTTGCTCCCTCCACTTTCCTGTCATACACGTTTCTAACAGACCTAGTTAAAGAACTCATGGGGAAGATCTAGGCAGGGAAGAGAAGTTCTGAGGAGAATCAGCATCCTTCCCCAGGGGCACTAAAACCCTATGGAACAACCTTCTGGTGAAGCTAAGGATACTTATGTCTAAAATTTTCAATTTTTTAAAAGTTGTTTCTAAAATCATACAAGAGAGTTAGAATATCTGCTTTTTCTTACCACAGGCATATAAGTATTAGAGTTGGCTGTAGTAATAGCTATAATATTAGTAGCAGCAGTTAATATCAACAGCATTAACCACATACCAGCTACTACTGTTTGAAGCACTTTTTTTCTATTATTTTAATCATTGTTCAAGTACAGTTTGAAGTACTTTTTAATAATTTATTTTATATTCTGAATGAATGCCTCTTTCTCAAATTTTCATCTCTTAGATACAAAAACCAACTGAAAAACTAAAAAAAAATTAGGAATAATCTCAGATTTCAAGTGTTCTTTGTGATATGTCATGCTAACAAAGCCTAGAGCTAACTCTGCTTTCTTTCTTTTTACTTTAAAAAATTTTTTAAATATATTTTATTGATTATGCTATTACGGTTGTCCCATTTCCCCCCCTGCATTCACCTCCACCCTGCACACCCTCTCCCACCGACATTCCCATTTAGTTCATGTCCATGTGTCATAAGTTCTTTAGCTTCCACATTTCCCATACTATTCTTACCCTCCCCCTTTCTATTTTCTACCTACCATCTATGCTACTTATTCTCTGTACCTTTTCCCCCTCTCCTCCTCCCACTCCCTTGTTGCTAACCCTCTATGTGATCTCCATTTCTGTGGTTCTGTTCCTGTTCTAGTTGTTTGCTTAGTTTGTTTTTGCTTTTGTTTTAGGTGTGGTTGTTAATTATTGTGAGTTTGCTGTCCTTTTACTATACATGTTTTTTATCTTCTTTTCTTAGACAAGTCCCTTTAACATTTCATAAAATAAGGGCTTGGTGGTGATGAACTCCTTTAACTTGACCTTATCTGAGAAGCACTTTATCTGCCTTTCCAATCTAAATGAAAACTTTGCTGGATAGAGCAATCTTGGATATAGGTCCTTGCCTTTCATGACTTGGAATACTTCTTTCCAGCCGCTTCTTGCCTGTAAGGTCTCTTTTGAGAAATCAGCTGACATTCTGATGGGAACTCCTTTGTAGGTGACTGTCTCATTATCTCTTGCTGCTGCTAGGATTCTCTCCTTCATTTTTACCTTGGCTAATGTAATTATGATGTGCTTTGGTGTGTTCCTCCTTGGGTCCAAATTCTTTGGGACTCTCTGAGATTCCTGGACTTCTAGAAGTCTATTTCCTTTGCCAGATTGGGGAAATTCTCCTTTATTATTTGTTCAAATAACTTTTCCACTTGTTGCTCTTCCTCTTCCTCTTCCCCTTCTGGTACCCCTGTAATTCAGATGTTGGAACGTTTAAAGATGTCCTGGGGGTTCCTAAGCCTCTCTTCATTTTTTGGAATTCTTGTTTCTTCATTCTTTTCTGTTTGGCTCTTTCTTCCTTCTGGTCCACTCCATTGATTTGAGACCCAGTTTTCTTCCCATCACTATTGGTTCCCTGTACATTATCCTTTATTTCACTTAGTGTAGCCTTCATTTTTCCATTT